TTGGGCTCTGACCGCTGCAAATGAAGACTTTCCTCCGCCAAGCCCACAGGCCCCACGTCCTATCCATGGGCCCCAGGTAAGAACTCCTTTGTATTAGTTCCTATGGCTACTGCCACAAATTACCCACACTGATAAGATAGCTTAAAGCAACAGAAATTTATTGTCTGAATGTTCTGGAGGTTAGAGCCCAAAGTGGGTCCCACTGGGCTTTATAAAGCCAAGGTGTTGGCAGGGCTGGTTCCTTCCAGAGGCCCTGGAGGAGAATCTGTTTCCTTGCCCTTTTCCAGTTGCTAGAGGCACTGCATTCCTTGGCTCGTGGTTCCGTCCTTCACCGTCCAGGCCGGCAAGCGCCGGCTGAGTCCTTCTCCTGCCGCATCACTCTGACATCGCTCCCTTCTCCGTTTTAGGGGCCCTTGTGATTCCACTGGGCCACCAGACAATTAAGCATAAACTCCCATCTCAAGGCCCACAGCCTTAGTCACATTTGCAACGTCCCTTTTGTCACGTGAGGCAGCATGGAAAGAGGGAGACATCACTGGGACTGAGAATGATGTTATGTCAGCGGACCACTCTGGGCACCACCTCCATCCACCTTAGAGAAGCAGCCACTACTGCTGGTATGAAACTGTGTATTATCAACAGGCAAGTCTCGCTCTGAAGGAAGGCTACATGCTCTTTCGTGTGGGGCACCCTGCAGTTAGCAGGTGTGCTGGGAAGCCCCTCTTGCCAGTATGGCCCATGGCTAACAATACCCAAGCTGTGAGAAGCCCAGGAGAGCCAGTGCAAGGCGGGGGGGGGCGGCCTTGCAGCAGCGGAGTGGAGACACCCACAGCCCCCGCCACAGGGGTCTTCCTGGTGAATGCTGCTCAGCAGACCCTCCCCAACAGGCACAGCCTGGCCGGTCTACAGGTTGCCTGCTCTGCGAGTCCAGAAGCATGTCTGTGACTGACACTGCAAGCCAGTATATATATGTTTCTAGTAGCCACATTTACTCAAGTATGATCAGATGAAATTTATGTTATCATTACAATGTGTAATCAATATACAAATACTGAGATATTTGTGTTCTTTTTGGACTATGTCTTTGAAATCTGTTGTGCATTTTACATCTCAGTTTCATCTAGGTGCATGGAGGCCTAGAGCATTCAATGTTATAAAAAACTAGTCTTAGAATGGCCGTTTGCCAACACCCATCTGGGATGGAGATTGGCTTTTCCTAATCTTTCCTTCCAAAACCAGGTCAGGGATGACGCTGAAGGCGACACTAGTAACACCACCAGAGAGCCAACGCTTGCTTTTAATAAGCTGAAGCGGGTGAAATTGACAGAACATGTCCCCAGTCCTGGCATTGGTGCTATTGGCGCCATCTGCTGGCTGCACAGAAACAGCTGCCGGCTCTGTGAATCCTTTCGCAGACCACTGAGACCTCAAGACAGCCCACTCTGTGGACATTTTGTCCCCACCGGGCTCCGTGGAGAAGGAAACTTCCCCGAAGTCATCCACCTGCATGTTACATCAGCAGCTAACATTTGAGCACTTACTAGAGGCCAACTAGGCTGTGCCAACTGAGTACTCACACCAAGCTTTTGTGTAGCTGCTTTTAATGTCTCCCACTCTACGGTGGAGGCCACTCAAGCTCACGGAAGTATAAACCACATGCTTAAGGTCCCAGTGGTAGGTGACAGAGCTGGGATTTGAAGGCAGGCAGTCTGACTCTAAGTGAGTGTTCTTAAATACATACAGTTGTCATACAGGTATTTCAAATGTCATGTTATAGTCAGGATAACTAACCCTCCCATTCTGGGGATAACGCAAGGAAAGTTATGACTAGTACTCATGGCAGTACTAACTTGAGGTTACCGAACCTCAAGACCTCATCCAAAACCATATAAGTAACAAGGACAGAGAAAAATCCCAATCCAGGTTATTAAAATGTTTATAACCATCACTTTGTATGATGCAGTGGAGTATGCTCTGTAGTCTTGTGTGGCTCCATTGCGAGTTGCACAACTGCAGTCATTTCACAGCCTCTGAAAGGGTCCTGATTTGGACGATGCTGGCTCACATGTTCCTGTATGTATTCAATGGCATGTATGTATTTGCTTAATTTCTTCAAAGCCCCTGCTTCCAAGGAAACTCAAATTTTGGTTTGGAAAACGTTTGTTTCCAGTCACCCCCAAAATGGCAGATGGGTTCTACCAAGAAGCCTAAAGCACACAAAATAAAGTCCCTTAATAGAATTTCACAGCGAGGTATGTTGTCCCTTAAAGATGATTTAAGGCAGGTGGTACCTTTTAACTTCCATTGTATTATTTCATGTCTCGTTTTTATTGCTTTATATTCACTGTATTAATTTTAATGGTTACTTTCTACTTTGGGCAAGAAATACCAATTTTCCATATAGCGATTTTTCTTCTTTCAATTTATGGCAGTGACAAATTTAATTCTGAAAGGTAACTGTATTTTTAAAGAGTTTGTCAATTTAAAGAGTAAATATTGGTGAGTGACAAATGGGTGTGGTTGGGAAGCTGCAGCACAGCCAGCCCTGGACACACGGCTGAGCCTGAGTGGCTTCACTTGGTAGAACTGCCATTTCTTATGAAGGACAAGCAGCTATGTGTGTGGTAAGCCAGGCGCTCACACTGTTCCCTACCAAATCCCACCTGTGGCACCCTATTGTCCTGGGCGGGTGACAGAGGAAGCCACTCCTAAAACACGGTTAGGCGGCAGGGTTTAGTAGGCCCTCTTGAATGAAGGCAGGCTTGGACGTGTGCGCACACACAGGCCACTACATTTCCACGCTATTTCCAGCATCCAGAGCATGGGGTCAGGACAGACTCGTCGGGAACAGAGAAGTATGTCCTCCTGTACACAGCTCCCAAATCTGTGACACCTCATTTCAGCATCATCTTAATACAGGGTTCTCGCCACCAGGCCATGTCCACAGTTAGTAACCAAGAACGGTGTCACCAAGAGGAGGGGAAAAGGCCTGGCAAAACCAAACGGAAACACCAAGTGAATGCCAAATGCTAACTTTTGAGCCTTGGTGGTAAGTACAGGTTCGCTGTAAAACTCTTTCCACTCTTCTGTATATGCTTAAAATTTTTTTAAATTATGTTGGGTAAGAATAGTGAACAAGACAACTTCTCTTCTCCACGAGGTTTATATACTTTACTTTCAGTGAAAGCAACAACTTGTTCCTTAAAACATGAATATCTTAAGAAGTTTAATGATTTCAGCAAATACTTACTGGTTCATCATTAGTAAAAAACACGCAGCCGGCTTTTTCTGCTTGAAGTCCTGGGCAGAGAAATGAGCCTCGGCCCCCTCAACCAGAATTCACATCCAGGTGGGAACAAGAAGCTCCCTTACTCCTAATTGCTGGCTCCCCAAAGTCCAACTTCGACTTTGTTTTAAATGTCAATTACAAAAACTATCCCCTTAGTACTGTGGCAAGGCCCAAATGTGGACAAGGACATGATTTAGACTCACTCTGTGGTCATCTTCAAGAGCCAGTCACTAGCTGATCAAAACAAAAATGAGAAAACTAAAGCTAAAGTAAAGCTGGCAATCTGTTCCCACCTCCAGGGAAAGCCGGCTACTGAGTCCATCGAGCCCAACGCTCTCCTCTCAACAGTCTTTCCTAATCGCTTTATCTTCCCATATGCACAGGTCATAAACCACAGGGCTGATTCAAATGGGAAAGGAAAAATGAGCTGTGATCCATCAACTTGAAAATTCACATTTGTTTTTCTAGTACCTGCCTTTTTCTCTCTCAAAAAATGAAATTTCAGGCTAAATAGGTCTGAATACATTTATGATTCGACTACCAAAGAATTTAAACTGTTAAGTACAGGCAATCTCTTCCATTAGAGAATTTTATTCTCATTGCTTTTTATGAGTAGGAAGACACATCTTACAATATAATCGACACCAGTTAGTTTACACACCAGCCCAAATAGCAAAGCCTAAGGAACATATGATATCACAGGGTAAAAAACACAAAACTCTCAGAAGTCAAGTACTAATTTGAATTTCATTTCAGATTCTTACCTGAAATTGGGGATTTTAAATTACATGAAATAAAAAGGCAGCACCCGAGAACCACCCCACAGAGGGCACAAGTCGGAGGGCTGCCCACACAGGGGACTTGGGCTCTAACTTGAAGGCCACACAGACGTCAGTCACTCAGGCCAGGCCCACAAAGGCCAGTCCCACAGCACAAGGCATCCTTCTTGTCCAGTCGCCAGGACATCTGCCCAGAAGAGCTGAAGAGCACAGGATGTTGGAGATGGGAATGCAAGCAGCAAGTCACACACACACGAACGGCCTGCCCGTGTTTGGAGAGGCTGTCGCAAGCCCCCCATGCAGTAGAAACAACCACCGCTCAGGGTTCACTTTCTCCTAAGATGCAAGACGGCTGCACTTCCCCAGGGTGTCTGAACACAAATCAAAACCCAATGATGATACTGACCAGGATGACCACTTGAGAGCTTACGGGGCAGGAAAGGGGAGACATGGACAAAGGGAGCTTAGTAGGCAATCTTCAAGGTATTTATTATAAAATACAGCGCAGGGTTCAAAGATTGCCTCCCTCTGCTGTCTAATACATACACTGTGGAATGAAGTACTTCAGAAAAGCTGGCAGTCACCCACATGATTCTAACTTCTAGGTATTTTCAATCCCCTCAGTCACAGATGACACCTGTAGCAGGCAGTGGAACGGAGAGATGGACAGTCACTGTGGCCAGCTGGGCTCCTGACTGCCAAACAATGACATCTTGTCTGAGGTTGAAATGCACATCCATGATGACAACCCCCCCAAAGCTGGGACCCCAGTTTGTACCGACACAAGGTCGAGTGAGAGAAACAAGTCTGGATGTGCAGAAGTCTCCATCCATTACTTCTTATTCCTGGGTTTTAGCTCTTCGGCTGCATTACGCAGGAAAATGTAATTTTTCTTTTGGGGATTATAAAATTCATGTCCCTAAAAGGAAAAAAACACATGATCTTATTATTAAAAAGGCAAAGTTAGCATTTTGTGGGAACTTTTTATATGTCAAGTCCTGCGCCATATGCATGAAGTACAATCTCTCTGCAGGAAAAAATCAGGTAGAGAGAAAGAAAAGTCAAATGTTAAATACAAACTTTAGTCCTCAGAGAAAAGGTTAAAGACTTAGGAATTCCCTTTCATATCCTGTTTAGAGGGATGATCTCTTACCTACCTGCCCTTCCGGTGCTGAGACTGTTTTAAGCTGTCACCTCTTTAACACCAAGGTGACTGACTGCCCTCAGGAAGCAGGGCCTCTGGAGAAGGTGGTGGGAGGGGAGCTCTGACTTGGTTCCGCAGAAGAAATGAGCCGTCTGACTCACGACGTCACGGGGACGGGGGCACGGCCCAGGAGGGCTGTCCTGCACAGGCCGGGCAGAAGGGGGAGCACGTGGAGCAGGTGTGTCTGCTCATGCTCACGGGGGTGGAGAGGGAGTTGCAGGACACGAGGGGAAGCCCAAAGAGTCAGATCAGGCCAGACTCTGAAGGGCGGTGCACATCAGACCGAGGCTTCTGCACGTCATCCAGCAGGGGGGGAATGGCAGCCGCCAGAGCAGTGTGACGCCGACAGTGACACGACAGAGTTGTGTTCGAAAGAGGGGTAGCGGGAGCCTCAGGTGATCCAAAGGCTTCAACAGGGAGGGAAAGGGACTCTGGGAGCATCTGCACTGTACTACAATGACGTGTTTTGTTCTTGTTATTCTCATCTCTTCAGACAGTCGAGATGGTTCTAGAAGTTTTGCTCAGCAACAATGACCATTAATTCTCATCATCATATGCAAAGCGCAGCTTTTCTGAATTATTATGTTTAAGCAGTAAGCTATGAACATTAACCATACGTGATCATGATTTCACCCTGGATATAACTGTCCCTAAACGAAGAACAATGGGAAATTCCTGGAGCAACTTATTTTTGAATTAAGTTTATAATTTAAGTAACTCCCAGTGCAGGCTGCCATTAGTTGCTCAGATGAATTCATTCTGCACAGCATTCAAAGCAATGAGCTTTCTCACTTCTTCAACTTACTATTTCTTCAATGCTTGTGACGCGCAGGGCCCTGAGTGGGATGTGAGCTAAGATGCAGAGTTCAGTGCAGCTGCAGGCTGAGCACGTGAATGAGAGGAAATCCACCAAAGGACCCTAGGGGGAAACTGAGGCTTCAGGCCACAGCCTGGCTCCAGCCCCAGCCCCAGCCAGGCAGAACCAAAAGGCTGTGCTCTTTGCAAAGCTGAGTGTGTGGCTTCCACAGGTGGGAGGATAAACAAACGGTGGCACAGCCACGCTGCAGAACGTGACTCAGCAGTAAAAAGGAACCGACAACTGACACACTCAACAGCACAGGTGAACTGCAAAATCACTGAGCTGAGGGAAAGAAGCCAGGCAAAAAAAGTAGTGTCTGACTCCATTTATAGAAAATTATAGGAAATGCAAACTTAGCTACAGTAACAGAAAGCAGAGCAATGGTTGTGTGTGTGCGTGAGGGGGACTACATGACACATGGGGACTGCTGTGGTGACCATGATGATGGTTTCATGGGCACATAAAGATGCTAACAGATCAAACTGTACGCTTGAAACATGCAGTTTGCTGCATTTCAATTATACCTCAGTAAACTTGCTAAAAAAAAAAAAAAGGCAGCTGCGTGGCCCACATAAGCCAACACTCAAAGGGACAGTGCACACTCCCACAGACCAGGGCCAGCATCAGAGATGCGCTGAATGGCCAAGATGCACTGCAAGCGACGTGCAGACTGCGCCTGTCCAGGTCTGGGAGGAAGACAGAATCAAAGGTGACCCCAGACTTACGCTGAGTGACTGGATGGTGATTACCTCAAAGGAGGAACATAGGAGAGCAGCAGGCCTGGAGGATGAATGCAGAGGCATGAATGGCAATCTACCTAACTTACGGTCTGACTTAGGAGATAGGGCTTCTATCTCCTAAGTTAAGGCACACAGGGGGTACCCGCCCAGGTGTGGACATCCTGGAGGAGAGGTGGAGAGCAAGGTCAGAAATCAAGCTTGAAACTGAGGAGTCGTGAGCTTATGCTGCAAGAGCTGGTGCCATGGGGACACAGCACGCTGGGTGCGCCCTCAGAACTGTGAGGCCAGAGCAGGCTAGGAAAGGCTGGTACACAGGGAGGGCCACAAGAACAGAAGCCAGTAAGGGAGATGCCAAGGGCCAGTCAGAAGTATGAATAAACCAGAAAATAAATACCAGAGAAACCAGAGAGCTTTGTGAAGGAGGAACGGACGGGCCACAGTACTGAAGAGAGACAGAAATGACGCTTCTAGACTCGACAGCGAGCACACAAGCCAATGAGACTCTGACTACAGCCCAAGGAGGCCAGGACCTTGCAGCAGACGGAGGGACAGAGGTGGGGAACAACAAGGCAGGTGCCACCCACTCTGAACAAGCTATCAGTCAAGGGAAACCAGCTTTCTCTGGGATTGCTTCAGAATGGCTTAAGGCTTAAGCGTGTGCTTACAGAGGAGAAGGGGCTAATGGACAGGAAGAGAAGAGTCTGAAAAGGGGCAGAAAAGAATGGAATCGAGGAAGGGAAATTCGTGCGTGTGTGCTGGCGGGGGTTGCAGGCAGAGGGATGGGGCTAGTGAAGACAGACACGTGTGGGGATGAAAGGGACTGGGAGACGAAGCCACTCTTGGTGACGCTGGTGACCCCATCAGCAATGCGGGCAGAAGGGCAGAGTGCGGAAGGTCTGGGGCGCCGCAGTGGAGCAGTGGGGTGGGTCGCACAGCCAGGCTGGCCAAGAGGACAGCATGCCTTGACCAGCGCTGGAACCCGAGCCCCAAGTCTGCTCTTTGCTATTATGCTGGGATGCCTCGAAACTCAGCCATGACCCTGTCCGTCGCTAACACCCCACCCCAAACAACGAACGAGCAAAGAGCCAATGGCTTGAGCCAAAGCTCCGTGACCAGGCCCTTGTCCCCCTGCCCACAGCTTGCCACACCTCCTCCTCCTCTCTCCCAAGAGCCCCAGGCATCACCAAACTACCGCACCCTCCCAGAGTGGTGGCCCCCAGCTCGCCCCTGCTTGTGCTTATATGCTACTGAAGTGCCTCCCGTGGGCAGGTTCCAAGGGAAGGGCTTTACGGGTATGACTTCACCGAGTCCCCACACCCTGCCAGGGAGGCCCCGCAATTTCCCTTTGCAGTGAGGTGATGGTGACATGCCCAGGAACACACAGCGAGTCTGGAAAAGAGTCAACTCAAGCCTGGCTCTGCTGCCTCAGTGTGCACACAGCAGGCCTGGGCATTCTTACCTTTGACCAGTCGTAGCTGGAAGCATACGCAAATATGTTTCCATTGTGATTGAAGCAGCAAGCCGCTATCGGTTGATCTAACTGTTCTGAAGTTTTTAGTTTTGTTCGGGCATCTTTGTCCCAAAAGCTGAATCGACCATCAGATCCCACAGTTGCAAGGGTGCCATGTACAGGATGGAATGCAATTCCATTTACCTGCGAGGATCAGTATGCACAGTGAGAAGCAGAAGAGGGAGAAACAATCAGGGTTTTGCCAATACACACTTGCTGTTAGTTAGGAAACATGTACAGACTGTCACTTCACTAGAGCTGGCTGCCCACCGATCACAGGAGAAACCAACCCTGCAGCCTGAATCAATCTCCAGCCCAGAACCGAATCTCATCTGTTCTTATGAACACAAGTTAGCAGAAGTTAGCAAATATGTAGCTAGGACGCCAAGCAGTGAACCTCACGAAAATGCTTTTTCCTTTACCGGCAAACAGCAATGTCTTCGTTTTTGCTAAGTGTATAAACTATCTACTAACACTCATAAAGGAGGTGGAGGACTCTCCCAGCAAAGTCCTAAGCTTGCATTCAGAAACAACAGTCAGAGAGAAAGACAGTCAACACGTTCATGAAAACAGAAAACTGAAACCTACAGCATAAGCAAAACTGAAACCTACAGCATAAGCCGTTATCTCAGACATGGACACACACAGTGACAGATCTTTTCTGATCCCATAATGACTCAGCTGCCCTCCTCCAAGTCTAGTTTCTAGATGTGTTCTCAAGGTCAAAGTTTCTAAAAACATACCGCATAGATGTCCTGAGGCGCTGAAGTATTGGTACCGTTAGAGCGATGGCATTTAAAGGTGAAGTTATCTTTGGCACTGAAAAACAAAGGCTCAGCTAAGTTTTCCTTTATAAAAAAGGTCCCAAGTGAGAATCTGCAAGTGAACCAAGTCTCACTCACGGATTTGGGGGGTTGATGTAGTGAATGGCAACTCTCCCCTCAATACTTCCCAAGGCAAAACCAGTCGGCTTGTTCTGTTTGTCTTTAAAAATAGCCACACATCGATGCTACAATTTGGGAAAAAAAGAAAAAAGTACATTATCACAATGTAAAATACAAGATTTCATAACTTATATGAAAGTAAATATTTTCACCCCATTTCTGGATTTTAGAAAAACCAGAAACATACTATGTAAGCATGATAAAGAAGGTATTTCTATTCCTCCAGTAGCATTATTTTCCAACTTTTTAATAACTACTGTATTCAACCATGTGATTTTATGAATAAACTGTAGACATGATTCCATTAACTGCTCCTCCTCCGCCATCCTGAAGGCCCCACCACCCGAGCAGTGCATGCGCCCCGCAGAGACCCCCAGTTCCTATTCTGGCGCTGGCCGCCTTGTGGATAGGAAGACACCTCGCTTTGGCTCACAGCCCTCCAGTGACTAGGTAATGCCCCCAGCAGGTCCTCCACTGTCTCTGTGCCTCTGCTTTCTCCAATGGAAAAGGACAGGGAACGAGGGTCACACGGGCCAGTGGAAGGAGCCAGCACCTTCTGAACTGCAACCATGTAGAAGCAGATACCACACTTGACCCAACATTGAGTCTAGGGGCCCAAAGGAGGGACTCCTGGGCTCTGCAGACGAATCCTCAGAAGGAGCCCACAACCCAGTCCTTGGGGGCAGAGCAGGGCCAGGGCTTCCTCCTTCCAGCTGGGACACCCTGGTCTTCCCCAGAGGACCGCCTGTCCTTCCCAAACTGGGTATTTACTTTAGCTTCTGTGAAGAGTTCAGGAGGTACTGGGACAGGATTAGGGCCCGGGGGCTAAGCCTTACATTAAGGTAAAGAGCAATTTGTTATTATGATACTTGTTAGAGCAGATAAATTTCCTAAGTGTATGCTAGTTCCATTTCTGAACCATTTTCCTTTCTTTGAACCACAAGCCCATTACTTTTGCGAACAGAAAAATAATTAATGAAAAGTCTGTAAGTTCTTAGAAGTCAGAAGTAACCATGCCTGGTCAGGCTCTACCTCCTCATGCTCAGCACAGGATCAAACACACAGTTCGCAGACCAGGAACTGACAACTCCAGCGGTGCCATTTGTAAGAACACGACCACAGAGTGGTCCTATGCAAAGGCTGATGGCATTCCTCAACAAATGAAAGGCCGTGCCTGGAACAGGGTAGCAGGAAGTGAAGCCAGACCCGATGAAGTTTTATCAAGAAGTCTGAGACTTATCCACAGGAAATGAGGCGGTGCTGGGTTTAAGCAGAGGTACAGCAAGGTCAGATGTGCCCCAACTCGTATGTGAATGGACTGAAGGAGGGCAAAGATCTAAACTCTTACAGTCATTCAAGAATGCTTGGATTAGATGTGGTAGGAGGGAAGGAGATAAATGAACAGATTCCAAACATTTGCAGGGTAGAAGGACCCAAAGATCAACGAGTAGGAGAGGAGAAGAGGAGGGAGGAATGAATTCTGGGTGACTTCTGTTTTCTGGTTGAGGCAACTAAGCAGGTGGCAGCCCCATTTAATGAGGTGCGGAGCTCATGGGAGAACAGGCTGGGGGCGACAGGCAGGAACAGGTCAAGGTTGTTTGTTCACTCAGCAAACATTTACGGAACTTCTGTATCAGGTGCTGGGCAAGAGCAGCAAGGCAAACAAAACAAATAGGTCAGTATACCTATGGACATATAAGGTATATACATATATGCAGCCAGGGAGAATCCTGCGAAGAGGTAAGATCCATATGAAGTGGTCTCCGGTTTGGTGTTGGGTAAACGCCACGCTGAGAGGATGGGAGACAGGCAAAGTTGCTGAGCTGGGCAGCTGTCGGTATCCTTGTTGGCAGCCTCAGTATCCAGCCCACAAGGAGACCCGAGTGGCAGCAACAGACGGCAGATGAGATCTTGCTGAGGCAGGGAAGGCAGTAGCCAAGGGCAGATGCCTGGGGAACCTCAATACACAGCAAGACAACAAAGTAGCAACAAGACAGGCAGGAGGCAAGAGGCTGGCACTGCAGAAACCAGACAGCATGTTTAAGAAGCTGTTAAGAGCAGTGGTGGTGCTGTGTCCTGGAGAGATGGGGGCTATTCTGTAACTACTGGGATTCCTGATGAGGAAGACATCAGTGGTCACGCCAAAAACAGGTCCAGTGCAGTAATGGGGGCAGAAATCTCAACAGAGTGGGGTGAGAAAGGGGTGGGAGGCAATGGAACAAGAAAGGTCATGCAAAAGGAAACAGGTCCAGAGAGTAGAGGACAATGATGGGGTGGTGAGGGAGGTCTGTTTTCCAGGCTGAATTAGACTGGGGCATGTCCCAGGACTAATGGAGAAGTACTAAGCGGGGAGAGACTGAAGATACAGGTGCAGGTGGGTCAACTGCATAAGGTTCCCAAGAAGGCTGGCAGACTTGGCATCACACCATAAAACCGGGTAACTCTGGAGAACACTGACCCTGCCTAACAGGTGGGCGAAAGGCAGGAAAGATGTGGGCAGACTTCTAGATGCATCAGGAGGAAAGTGAGCAAGTTCCCAATGAATGGCTTCCACATCTGGGCAGGAGCTGATCTGATTTGTTGAGATAAAGGCTAAAAGAGGGAGGGTCTAGGATTTTGAAGAGAGTGAAGATCTGAGTCTATGTCAAGTGCAATACCGAGGTGAAGAGAAAACCCTCTTCACTGCCTGGGCATGATGGAGGCACACCTGAAACTGGAAGCTATGATTTCACAACAGAACCAATCCACTGAAAGGTACAATTTTATTCAGTAGCCTTCAGCTATCGAGGGGGATGTTTGGAGAAGACAGACAAGTCAGGTTCATCCAGGGATGGATAGTATTTACTCACTAAACATTTGTGCTTGTATCCTTAAATTCACCCCCTTTGAAAGTACAACTATATTCCTTCTACGGGCACTGACTAGGTGCTAAATACATGCTTCCTGACATGACAAGTGACTCACCTGGTGTTTCAGTGGAGATTCTATCCTCCTGAACTCAGAAGGTTGATTCTCCAATTGGTAGACAATTAGTCCCCTCTCCGCAGTTGCCACCACAGCCATAGGATAGATCTAGAGAATGGAGAAAAGCAGAGACATGCTTTCAATGGTGGAATGTGCTTTTTTTATACCAAAATATTAGATCAATATTTTAGAGTCACAAAAACAAGTGTATTTTTTTAAGTTTAAAAATTTAATGATATCAACGTTTCATGAAAACCTAGAGAAACTGTATTTGAAAGAACATTCTTTTTTAAAAACTCAGTTTTTAAAACTTTAAATATGAGTATTTAAAAAATATACCAAGGAACAGAGAAGAAATCAAAATCACCTACAGCAACCCTTTGAATGAAACTACTGTTAGTGAATGTATATTTTATTCCAGCATTTTCTGAGCATTTTACATGTAGATATGCATATTCTATATAATTCATATCCTTTTCTCAATGAGCACATTCCAAGAATACTAGTAGTGACTGTCTAATCCTCCCTCCATGAGCCCACCACAGGGTTCATTTAACCATGTCTATCTGGTTGGCCTGCTAGGTCACTTTCAATGTTTCATTGTTACAGAACAAAGACCACCTGTATCTTCATTTTTCTCATGATGAATTCCTAAAAGTGGATTACTGGGGCAGTTGGCACAAAATTTTAAGACATAACTAAATGAAGAGCAGAAGTTCTTCAGTTTCACTCACAGACAGTCCCCAAAGACTTAGTGCCACACCACAAAGTTACTGCCAGTTTTCCTAGAGCTGCATGATCAGGGTCACACTGACGGCATGCAGCTACCTGCATATGTTCAAACAACTAGTAACCAATAAAACCAACATCACTATTTAGTAATTCTGGAACGAATGCAGCAAAAAATCACTGATTTAAGGTGACTAGGCAGGCAATCTGGTTTACACCCCAATGTATTATTAAAATGTAAGATAAAATGCTTTTTTTTTTAAAGGGACTACACATTAAACTAGCAATTCCTTACCACATCGGCACAGTAACACCTTTCAGGGAGCTGTAAAACCATCATAGGATTCGACGATCGCGTATCCCAAAACTAAAAGCAAAGACAAAGAAGCCAGTAACCGACTACTCAAGAGCTAAGCCCAAACAGCGTGAGGAGTGTCAGCCTTGGCCGGCCACGCGGTCTACTACACCTTCAATGTCTTATCCCAGCTCCCGGTCATCACACAGCTGTAGTTTGGTGCTTTGATCCAATGTATGGTTTTAACAGGAGCATCGTGCTTTCAAGACAAAACCCAAACAGATTAAGGTAAATCTAACAATGTGCTAAACAGCTTTAGTTCTGGAAATTCAAAGAGAAGGAATTAACTTAAATATTGAGGTCATACCTAACAAACACCAAAAGATGTTTATAGCCCGTGACCAAAACATTCAATTTAATGTAACAATATACATCTATTCCATTCTAACAAATTTTGATTTTATCCACAATTAACTAGTACACAAAAGCAAAAGTAAGCTCTTCCCTAGGAGATAATCAGAAATAACTAGCAGGGAACTCCACCAGTTTTGTTTACTTAGATGGCAAGAATGAAGGGATCAGGGAGGCGCTTACAGTACACACAGTACTGTGATCTCAGAGTATGAATGCTTCACTGTCCAGAGGCTCTTCTTAAACAGGTCAGACCCTCTGGTTCTAGGTTCTTTTACCTGTGTTACTTCTGCTTTTCTTAGCAGTCTTCACACAAGAGTCTGCTTGTTGCCCCGGGGTGTACTGTTAATAGCTACACAGGTGTGCGCCAGTGTCCCTTATACAGCCAGATCTCTACCCACAAGGACAGTGCTGGCACAGAGCAGGCACTCAATAAATACTTGTCACGTGAATGAGTGACCAAATGCAGCTGGTAAAAGGCAAGCCACACACAGGGGTTGGAAAGTCAATTGCGAATGTTGAGGACACCTGTAACATCTGTCTGTTATACATTTTAATGTCACTAATCCCTTATAATGCCATCCTCATCAACACATATATGTGGAAGACTCATGACAGAACAATCTGTGAAATACTAAAGAATGAGAAAGGTTATAAAAGTGTTATTTTTGTGCTACAGCAATTTCTGGTATACTTAAGTCTAATTGATTTGGTATAGTCACACTGCATTTTTTTAATAATAGATAATTATAATTAAAGAATCATTACAACCCTTGGGACCGGCCCTTGGACAGAGGCCAAGTCTCTGCTACCTGTGCGATCTGTATTGCTTGGTTACTGTTGAGGTCCCACATTTTGGCAGTTTTATCACATGAAGCTGTAAATACTTTGCTCCCATCCTAAAATGAAATGGAGAAAATCTGTCATTCCAAGAAAAGGAAAATCTCTACCTGAATTTAGATATTAAGTTGAATATATTGAGGCAGGTTTTGTTTTGCAATTTTTATTTTTCCTATTATTTGGGGTCTAGTGTATTGTGAACGACACTGTCACATACAAAACACACTCTCAGCTCTATTTTGTGCTATTGATTTATTTTACTAAGAGATAACATGTAAACAGGATAAAAAATAATTCAAGTGGCACTTGAAGTTACGCAGCCTGACCAACCTTCCCCTCTCAGCACAGTCACAGGCCACTGCCTACGCTCCAGGAATATGTGGCTGTGTCCTGCCTGGGACCACTCACCAACTTTCTTATTTTGGTCAATTTCAAGCCCTCACAAAAGTTGCAAGAAGAAAACAATTAACACCCATAAACCCTTCTCCTAGATTCACCAATTGTAAACATTTTGCCACATTTACTGTAACTTTTCTTTCACACAATGTCTATAATCATAATACTTTTGTTCGGCTTCATATTTAACAGCATTCCTAAACCCTATGCATGCAATCAAACCCTAATTTTTCATAATTATTGGTCCTATGGAAGCGGTAGAGCAGCTTAACAAATGAGCAGTTATTTTGCAATGGTTTTTAAAATATTCACATACACACCTTATAAAAAAGTAGGTCATTCGAGAAAGTACTAAATGGGAAGTCTAGACCACTGATTGGCAAATTTTTCTTAAAGGGAAATTTGTTTAGTAAATATTTTAGTCTTGCAACTCCTTAAAGCTGTTGTCATAGCTTGAAAGCAGCCATATACATTATGTAAATGAATGAGTGGGGCTGTGTTCCAATTAAACTTTATTTACAAAAATAGGCAACAGGCCAGATTGGGCCCATGAAGCACAGTGTGCTGATCCCTGGCCTAGACCATTTCATTTCTGGTTCTGAGGCTCAAAGATTTACCACCATCCTTCCTTAGCAAAAATTTCTTCCCTTTTTAAGTCACTAGTCTCCATCTGAAAGAAGAGATAAAACTTGCTCCTCCAATGAAGTCATAAGGTAACTCCACAAAATACTTAGAGAGACACTGATATATGGGGTGGGCGACCGTGGGGCTGAGGAAACACTGGTCTCTCAACCTCACTGAAAAATGCCCATCTGCCAGCTGTAATCAGCACTACGCAGCGGCGGCAGGCCAGACCCAGAGCTTAACTGAGCAAAAGGCAGAGAAGACAGTATTTGTAATTGCTGCCTACCCACTTGCTCTAAGGTCCACCTGCTATGACCACACAGGGAATCATGTCCTTAGAAATGCCAAAGAATCACCTTCACCAAACGTGGCTTTTATGCCTCAAAGGAAATTTGGCTCTTCTGTGCTTCTGTGCCATTACAGACATGGCGTCACCCCCACCCTCACCCCCACTCCGTGCCCTGCCTGCCTCTCCCTGGCTAGCTCGTCCCCCTCCCGTAAGCCTCTAGGGCAGGCTGTCACGCTCACAGGCTCTGGAGCCAGGAAGGTCTGGGTCTGGTCTCAGCCACTCACCCGCTGTGCTCCCTCAGGTAAGTCCCAAACCACCTCACCACTTAACTAGTACCATGACAGTCACTTAATGCAGACTGAATCTAGCTGCACAAACGGCCACGATCTGACACTCATCTTTTTTTCTACATGTCTGTCTTGAGACTGAGTCCATGAGACAGGATGGGCCTACCTTGCCTACTTTGGCTTCCACTGTATCCCTAGTGGAAGCCAGGAAGGTCTGGGTCTGGTCTCAGCCATTCATTATTTGCTGAATTAAATAATTCAATTATCCATTGTAATTATTATTACCTTCATTTTATAAGCAAGAAAATAGACACAGAGAGATTAAGTAACTTGCCAAAGTGAGAAGGGCTGGGGTAGGCAGAGCCAAAATTTGAACCTAGATGTGGACTGGATGAGACAGTGCTCAAAAAGCTACAAGCACATGGCTCACTTCCAAGATTCAGCTCAATTCTTGTCTCTTCAGTGAAGCATTCCCGCCCCACTCCCAAACCCTGTAGCTGCTTTCTCCGTTCCCTCCCACCAGAACACACTGCCTCTCAGAACTCAGCTCACTGTGGGAGAACTCTCCCTTACTACGTCTGAGTCCTCCACTACTTGGTAAACAAATTGGACAAAGGAAATAGATGGTGTTCATTTTTCTAAAAGTCAACAACCACTTAACATCTGCAACAGAATTTCTCTATTAGTTAACGCTACTTCTCACCAGACTTTATAAGTTTTACAATTCTGATCAGTTAGATCGGTGAAGAGAGACACGCAAAATAAATCAGAAATACTTAAAATCTATTGAAGTTGATTCTTTTTCACATGTAAATTAAAAATAAGTTCTATCTGTAATAAACATGTCACTTTTCAAACTGTTTTCACATACTATTATTAGTCTCATAACCCAATCTGATATGTCAGGAATACCTTTTACAGATGAAAAAAAACGCCTCAGAGAAGCCTATAGTAAGTAGCTAATGATTAAAACAGGAGAACCTCTGGCTCCTAAACCATCTCAAAATATTTATAAATAGTTTAATCATTTGGGTTTTCTTACTTCTTCTGGCTGCCTCCATCTATATACTTTGTTCTTGTTTTTTTAATTGAAGCATAGCTGACACGCAGTATATTCATTTCAGATGTACAACACAGTGATTTGACAATTATGTATGTTACTAAATGCTCACCACAGTAAGGGCAGTTACCACCTGTCACCATAGGTTTTACAATATTCTTTACTATATTCCCTATGCTGTACTATTCATCTCCATGACTTATTTTATAAAAATGATTTGTTTACAAGCTAAGATCACATACATGTATAATAGAATTTAAAAATAATGATGTAAAGTAGTTGGGCAGTTTCTCATTAGGTTACACATACACTCACCATATGCCCCAGCCATTCCACTGTTAGACATTTACCCAGGAACAGTGAAGGTCTTTGTTCAGATAATTCAGTCCACAAATGCTCTGGAAGCACTATACCAACAACCGAAAATGGGAAACGGCTCCATGTCCTTCCACTGGTGGATGGGTGAACAAATGGTGGGCCACCCAATAAGCAGTAAGGACAAACTAAGGTTAGGCACCACTACCTGGACGGCTCTCGGTGCACTATGCTAGGTGACAGACGCCACACTCAAGACATGGCACACTACAGGGTCCTGCTTATTTGACATTCTGATACAGGCAGAACTACAGGGACAGCAGGGGCTGGGAGCTGAGGAGGGCGTGACTATAGAAGGGCAGTGGGGAATATGTGGACTGATGGATCTGTTTTCCATCTTGACCACAACTCTATGCACTTCTCAGAACCGACAGAATCATACACTGAAAAGGCTGTTTTATTGTATGCAAATCACACCATCAAATCTAACTTAAAAAATGCGTACAAGGCCCAGGAGAGGCCCTGAGGCTTTAACTTCCTTTGCATGGAAGCACATCCATCTGCCTCTGACTGTCAGTCAGGCTTCTGCTGGATCCAGCCACTGGGCAGCAGAGGCAGGAGAGAAAAGGCTGGGCTGTCGGCCCCCTGGCCCCTCCCCTGGGGTGGGGCAGGGGCCCCTGCAGGGGCAGCTCCTGCCGTGGCTGCCAGTGGTGCTTCGTCCTCCCTGGGGGTTTCTTTCCAAGTGGCCCTTTCCTTAAGCTCTCCTCAATCAACAGCAAAAGAAAGAAGAGGAAAAAAGGGAGAGAGAGAGAGAAAAGAAAGAATGAAAAGAGAAGAAAAAAGCTCAGAGCCAAATAAACTTGAACACATTTCCTTATAATACTGATGTTCAGGATTTGGGAGTAAAAAGAATTCCAAAAAAACCAAAAGACTTCAGATGTCTAAATAGAAAAGGATTTATTTTTTTAACCCAGGATTTCTTTTTCTGCAATAGCAAATTCCTAATTTTAAAACAACATAAATCCATGGCATCCTCAAACGTAGGAAAGGCTCTAAGAAATTATCTAATCCTTTGCTCAAGGTAACATCAAAAAAATAATTGATTTTTTATGCCAACAAGGCTTTCAGAGAGATTGCCCAAAGCTAACATTAGCTGACTACAGCAGGAATATCAATAAGCTGCTAGACTCACATTCAGCAAGTTAGAATCCCTACAGTGTGCATACATATACATACATGCTATTTGTTGTTTGGCTCGTATAAAAACCAAAATATACACATATGCTGAATTACACTGTACTTGATATAAAAGAAAACATGAAAAATTGAATGAAACATACATCACTCCAGCAGACATCTAGCACAGGCCCTGTGTGCATCTGCTGGGCTTTTGGAATAGTCTGTCCACTATCTTGAACTTCCCAGCAGCGAACCTACAGTAGTAAGACAAATGAATGCAAACACAGCAGTTCATGATACAATACATGCATTTAACATCTAATAACAAATGGGGTACAGTTTAAATGTATATGGATTTCTCATATGACCTAATTACCTAACTTTAAGAATGAAGCAAACAAAAACTATATCCAACTAGCTATTTTCCTATTCCTATTTCTAAGCTATTAAAACACCCAAATTTTATTGCTTACACTTAAAACTACAGATAATTTTCTTATCACATCTATTAAGTATATCATTCTTCTAAAACAGAACATCTTCCATTACCATTCAGAGAACCAAGACCAAAATGGAAACTTACCATTCTTTTCTGAAATACTTTACTCTGGTTTTTTATGTAATCTTTTTCCTGATTAGAGAAGTTACACACTTAACTTAGAGATACTGTAAATATGACAAGAAAATAAAAATCACCGTAATCCCACCATGGACAACTACAGTTCCTAATTCAGGGTGCTCTCAATCTTTCTATGCATACATATTTTCTTCAAAACACTGGATTATATAATGCATCTTCATGTTTGAATTATTAGCTGCCATTAAGCATTCTTCTAATATTTTTTTAGCAGCAAATTGAATGAAGTCTACCTAGGAACTACATGCAGAAACCAAACCTGCTCAACCCTGACTACCTTCCTCCCGCCGCCGTTCTTCCCCCCACCGCCCCCGTCTTCCACTGCGTCACTGCCTCCGATTGCAGAACAATCTTTTCCAAAATAGTAATTATCATTACTACTAGGTATTACAATTTTCCAACTTTTCACTAGCATGAAGACTTTTCTTAAATACAGCACTATTAGGTAGCGGTGAGGAGCACAGATTGCAAGATGAGCTGAGTATCGCTCCCGGGGAGGTGGGAGCCAGGCTGTTATTTCACTTCCCTAAGCCCCATGCTGCTCCATAAGATGGAGAGGACAGTGAGGGCACAGGGCTCAGCTTTGCCAGGATTGATGCCATTTTGCATATGAAGTACATCACTGGAGATCCTCCTCAAGGCCTAGAAGGAGAATCACTGAGATAAAGGGTATAAACTTAAGGATTTCTGATAAATACTGCCAACTGCTGTTCAGGAGACCTATACCAATCTACATACTTACCACCATGGGATGCTTTAAGCTTATCCTTGCCAGCACCAAGGTTACTCTTTTAAGCTTTTTTATTTTTGTGAATTTAACAGAAAAAGAGTCTATCATGCAAATTTGCATTTATCTGCTTATGATTTGGTTGAATGGTTGAAGTTTACCCTAACAGGCCACTTGCACTCCTTCATGATGTGCCCTTTGAATCTTTTGCTTACCAGACTTTTAAATCTTTTTTCTTGTACACTGTGCTTTTTTTGTCTTTCTTTTTGTACACAACAGGTAAATATAATGTCTATGCAGCATCAGTACTATATCTTAAAGTTGAAACATCTTCAGGATACCGAGATGGAAATTTGTGTTTAACATCACGGATAACATCTGTCCCAGTGAACATTACACTGGGTTGGGGAACACACTTGAAGACGCTCAACTAGAGCAGGGATTTTTGAGTGAAGCATATGGTCAGGGTTTCTTAACAAAAATCAGTGGAACAAGTGATGTCTGCCCATTTAGCAGGGTTCACACCCTCTAGGTGGTTTCTTTAAAAAGGCCATGAATAAGCCTTAACTGTGCTCATTCACTTTGGACAGAATGAAGCCAAAAGGAGAGGTCACCCTGCCCACACAAAGAGCTACGTCTTCTAGAACATGCAGTTACGGAGCACTTACATCGTTAGCCCATGATCCTGCAATAAGAAAGTTTCCTGGCAAGGTTGGTGGGCTGAAAGATAGACAACCAATGCTATCATCAGGAGAAGATGTTACTTCAATATCCTGGGGGGAAAAAGTCAATAATAAAATGTAAAAATCATTACAATTTCATTGAAAATTGCTTTCTTTCTCTGCGACCACCTCACAGTGGACTTCCCTTGTGCTGGAGAACTAACTGATTAGGCCTCTCTTATTCTAATCAAATAGGTGGTAATAAGTCAGTGCAAATACTAGCACTGCTAGGCTAGGAGAGGCACTCTCATTAAATGCCCCAACCACATTTTCCAAAGAATGGCCTGCCAGTTAGTTCACTCCTGCCCGAGAGCTTAGCAGGTGTTATCATCTGCCTCCCCCACAGAAATGCTGGTTCAACAGCTGTAGGCTGGGCCCTGGGAACCTGCCAGGGTTCTTAACAAGTACCTCAGGTGATCTGGTAATGAGAAAGTTGGAGGAACAGGACACTAGCCAGGGGACACACAGATGCTGTCCTCCAACGTCTGAAACAGCAAGTGAGGCAAAGCTTCAGAGCTTTCATCCCAAAGGAGGCTCCTAAGCTATCTGGGTTTTCCCCACAGTCACTGTTGTGACCAACCCCGGCTGCACTCTTCCTACAAACCCCATGAGCTTTACGTGGTACCTTCATAGGGTTGTGGTTATCTGTGGTTGTGCTTCCAAACATGGTCCCACTGGTTCCAAAACCCGAGGTTGTTCCAAATAGACTCATTTTGGCCCTAAAAATAATGGAAAATATTAAGGATGGGTCTTTTTTTAAGTAATAAATATATCAACAAGAGGGAATATAAAGCCAACTAAGTCAAAGAAGGAAAAAAGAGTCTAAGTGGCTTCATGTCAGTTTCTCTCTTTGGAAGAAGTCTAAGTATATGATAAGCAGAATAAGCATCTTTAAAATAAACTTTCTATTTTGGAACAGTTTTACATTTACAGAAAATTATAGATAGCAAGTTCCCATACATCCCACATCCAGTTTCCTTATTTCCTTTTTACATGTGTCACCAATAATTGATACATTGTAGCCGAGTAGAAAATAAATGCACTCATTCTTTCCACAGTAAGAGCTGAGCACCAGGAAAACAGCAGTAAACATGCAGAAGGCCCCACTCTTGCAGGTTCCCTCTCAGCAGAGTTCACTTTCTTAATTTCTGCACTCCTATTAGGTCAGTATCTCTGCATGAAGTACTTAGAAGAGTAACCAGTCCTGGCAGAAACCAAACAAATTTATTTGTAGGAGTTTTAAAAAGTAGTCCACTTTGGTTTGCTAAAGTACCAAAAGGTCTCATATTATAGTTTGGACTTTACCAGAAAGAATCCCCGCACTCTGAGTTTTTTCCTGAGCAACACAGTCTAGCAGGCCCACAGGGTTCCAACTGTGCCTCTACCACTTACAAGAGCTGAGACCCAAATCCCATCAGGCCTTATTCTCCAGCTCTGCAAAGAACATTAACACCTTCTCCAGTGTTGCTCTGAGGACTAAATAAGGTTATCTATGTCGAAAATCTAGTTCATAGTTAGTACAATAAACAACTTTTCCTACAGGAAAAAAGTCTATGCACTGTAACTCCCTGATGATTCACATGTTAATGCCACATTTTCAATTCTGTAATTGATTAGCAAATTTTTACACCCACAAGTCTACTATATCAGTCACCTCTCCCAAAGAAGCTGAGGAATAGTAGCATCTTTTAGGAAAACACAGAATGGGAAACTGCTAGGAATTTCGAAAGGCATTTGTGTTTCCCAAGCTTCATGAAAAATAAGTGCAGACATACTAGGTCAAAGCACCAGCTAGAAACACAGTATCTCAGAAAGCAACTTTGCGGAAGAACATGGTACTTGCCAACTACCTCCACCTAAATGTGAGAGATGAGCTTAAAATACCGCTGACCGCAGGAGCAACCCAGGAATGACAAGGCTTCTGCGATCCCAGCCAAGGAACCAGCTGTACGGTTCGGGACAGGTTGTTTAGGTCACGCTTTCCTCATCAATAAAAATAAATCACTAATATCCACTCCACAGAGTTAGGAAAACCAAGTGAGGCTGCACACACGGGGCCTGAAAGTCCTTACTTCCCGAGAGAACATTTCTGCCATCAGGAATTTATTAGGGGAAGAGCAAGGTAGTTCAAGTACTAATCAGCCGATGTCGACCACGTTATGCAGGACACTGGGAACTCTCAAGGAGTTGAGAAGACGTGTGCACATTTCAAACCTACCCAATCTGCTCCTATCTCCTTGCTGCAGTCCAGCCACACTAACTCTGCTGGCTACCTTTTTGCCTTCGAACACAGAAAGCCTGCCTTGGAGAGTTCCTGGAATAATGTGCTTTCACCCAAACCTCCAGTTGTCTCACTCTGAATCTTCAGATTCCCAATTCAAAAGCTGTCTCCGGAGAACTTTCTGGGGTGATGTTCTAAAACTGCACTGTGGTTCTAAAATTACACAACTGTATTAAACTTCCCAAACTCATTTAAAGTCACGCTTTACACGAGCTATAGTACGTAACTTACACTTCCGTAAAGCTGCTGAGTGTATCTTGTTTAAAAAGGTCACTTCCTCAGAGGCTTCCTGCCTTTAATATATTCAACCTCTAATGACAGCCCTTTGTTTCTTCACAGCACCTGTCACAATCTGGAATTCTTGTTTGCAAACAATCTCTTCCCCCGGAAAATGCCAGCTCCAAGGGAGAGCTGTCTGGATTCTTCCTAATATACACCTGGCCCTCAGCACACAGCCATGAGGCTGGCATTTATTAGATTCTTGCCTGGGGAAGTGTTTATATGTATATGATACACAGTTGACAAAGAATGAAAGAAACGAAAAACAGATTAGTCTGAGAGAGTGGTAAGTGCAAGGAAGGAAATTAAACAGGTTAACGAGGGAGAGACTGAAAGGGGATGGCCTTCCGTTAAAATAGTCCGTAAAGGCAGCAAGTGTCTGATGGGAACCCAGACGTGTACCAGGGAAGGGCTGAGGCGCCAGACGGTGCATCAATTCGCGACCCCTCCCCGTGACTCACTTTCCCCACAAGAAAAAGGAGGGGGTAGACCCAAAATGTCTCCGAAAGCCCCTTCCAGCCCTGGTGTCTCTCGAAAGCCTAAAGACGGCTCGTCGACAGCCGGGCTGCCGCCCGACACCTCGCTGCGGGGCGCACCTCGCCTGTGGACGCGTCCTCGGCGGCGCCATTGTGGCCGGAAATCAGGGGAGGCGGCACGGGGCCTACCTGAGAGTCGCGCGGCGGTGGGAAGCTGGAGGAGGGGAGCGGTTGGGACTCCGGACGCTGCGACCCCGCTCCGGTGGAAGGAAGCGAGGGCGGGGCGGGGCGAACAGAACCCAGAGCCCTGGGTCTGCTCACACCTGCGGGGTAACCACCCCAACTACGGCGGGGACACTGCGCATGCGGCCCGGAGTCACTTCCTGTGTCACCCGGAAGGCAGGGGCAGAAGAAAAAGGCTCCTTCTCCCGCGAGGCGACAGAACATGCGCAGAAGTGGTACTGACGCCCAGAGGCAGTCCTTGTACCAGCAGTTTGCCGATTGGCCAAACGTTTGTATAGGAGCCTGCACGTTGTCTAGTGACCGCTTAATCCGTAGCCCTGGGGCCTCTAGGGTGGTTAGTATTTTCTCTAGTGAATTAAGTCTAGCAAAATCTTGATTGTTGCAACTGAAGGCCAAGGCCGCCCTCCGAGAAACTGATGGAACGCTGCCTCAGAGTGCAGTGAGGCCTGGCCTGCCTCGGAGTTTCCTGGCAAGGTTGGTGGGCTGAAAGATAGACAACCAATGCTATCATCAGGAGAAGATGTTACTTCAATATCCTGGGGGGAAAAAGTCAATAATAAAATGTAAAAATCATTACAATTTCATTGAAAATGGCTTTCTTTCTCTGCGACCACCTCACAGTGGACTTCCCTTGTGCTGGAGAACTAACTGATTAGGCCTCTCTTATTCTAATCAAATAGGTGGTAATAAGTCAGTGCAAATACTAGCACTGCTAGGCTAGGAGAGGCACTCTCATTAAATGCCCCAACCACATTTTCCAAAGAATGGCCTGCCAGTTAGTTCACTCCTGCCCGAGAGCTTAGCAGGTGTTATCATCTGCCTCCCCCACAGAAATGCTGGTTCAACAGCTGTAGGCTGGGCCCTGGGAACCTGCCAGGGTTCTTAACAAGTACCTCAGGTGATTCTGGTAATGAGAAAGTTGGAGGAACAGGACACTAGCCAGGGGACACACAGATGCTGTCCTCCAACGTCTGAAACAGCAAGTGAGGCAAAGCTTCAGAGCTTTCATCCCAAAGGAGGCTCCTAAGGTATCTGGGTTTTCCCCACAGTCACTGTTGTGACCAACCCCGGCTGCACTCTTCCTACAAACCCCATGAGCTTTACGTGGTACCTTCATAGGGTTGTGGTTATCTGTGGTTGTGCTTCCAAACATGGTCCCACTGGTTCCAAAACCCGAGGTTGTTCCAAATAGACTCATTTTGGCCCTAAAAATAATGGAAAATATTAAGGATGGGTCTTTTTTTAAGTAATAAATATATCAACAAGAGGGAATATAAAGCCAACTAAGTCAAAGAAGGAAAAAAGAGTCTAAGTGGCTTCATGTCAGTTTCTCTCTTTGGAAGAAGTCTAAGTATATGATAAGCAGAATAAGCATCTTTAAAATAAACTTTCTATTTTGGAACAGTTTTACATTTACAGAAAATTATAGATAGCAAGTTCCCATACATCCCACATCCAGTTTCCTTATTTCCTTTTTACATGTGTCACCAATAACTGATACATTGTAGCCGAGTAGAAAATAAATGCACTCATTCTTTCCACAGTAAGAGCTGAGCACCAGGAAAACAGCAGTAAACATGCAGAAGGCCCCACTCTTGCAGGTTCCCTCTCAGCAGAGTTCACTTTCTTAATTTCTGCACTCCTATTAGGTCAGTATCCCTGCATGAAGTACTTAGAAGAGTAACCAGTCCTGGCAGAAACCAAACAAATTTATTTGTAGGAGTTTTAAAAAGTAGTCCACTTTGGTTTGCTAAAGTACCAAAAGGTCTCATATTATAGTTTGGACTTTACCAGAAAGAATCCCCGCACTCTGAGTTTTTTCCTGAGCAACACAGTCTAGCAGGCCCACAGGGTTCCAACTGTGCCTCTACCACTTACAAGAGCTGAGACCCAAATCTCATCAGGCCTTATTCTCCAGCTCTGCAAAGAACATTAACACCTTCTCCAGTGTTGCTCTGAGGACTAAATAAGGTTATCTATGTCGAAAATCTAGTTCATAGTTAGTACAATAAACAACTTTTCCTACAGGAAAAAAGTCTATGCACTGTAACTCCCTGATGATTCACATGTTAATGCCACATTTTCAATTCTG